ACGACACATAAAAAAAAGAAAGAAAGAAAGTGCTTCCCATATTTGAGTGTTTGAATATTTGGGATATTCATTTGTCGTTGGTGGTAGTGGTAGTGCGATCTTCTACGTTTCATTAAAAACGAATTTTTAAAAAAAAAACTAATAGTAAATCTGCACCAACGCTGTGTAAGGATTACCAGAATCATAGGCGACGCAACTTCATAGCTCAGACCCATTGAAACCCCCCCCCTCCCCCCACCTCCTAGCCATACATACAATTATGCACTTAAACAAGATTTGGGCCACAAGGCATTACATCCAAATAATTTGTTAAGGGGCTTAACCCCCCCCCCCCGACTAATAAAACCCACCCAGTATTTTGTTTGTGTCAGCGCCCATGGCGATGATAAACAAGACAAATATACTTCAGTAAAATCTCGTTACCGCGAAGTCGCGTAACATGAAAACACCGTTAACATTAGGGCTGTACCGAATTGTCGCTTCGGGGCCGAATGGTTGACCTAATAACTATTTGGTATTCGGCCGAATACCTGTGGTCGGGCCGAATATGCATAGTGGTTACCTTACACCCGTTTCTGCATACACTGCGATGGACTGAAAAAACTCTCTTATTAACACAATACTGTAGTTGCTGTTGCCTAAGTCAGCTGGGAAAACTGCGACCCGGTTGCGTGGTACAACAGCTGGAAAGGCCTTTGCCTGCTGACTCAGCCAAGGCATTACAGCAGAGGTTCTCAAACTTTGTGCGTTAGCCGGGGGTGCCGCGGCGAAAATCAAGACAAGTCGACTATAAATTGTGACATTGTTAGAAGGCATGACGATACTTAAAAGTTAAAATTGAAATTGTCTTTCCTTGCCGCTAGCGAAACAAGTTTTTCCCCCCTTGTTTCACACTCAAAGTGTATGATACTGCATGAAATGCCAACAGCAGCATGCTGAAAATAAACTATTTCTTGACGCCTCAGAGATGTGGTTTTACAGAACAATGCTTGAAATATCTTGGAGAGCCACACAAATAAAAAATAAAAAAGCAACCAAGAGGTTTTGAAAGAGGCGGGAGCCAGAAGACAACTAATCACAGACATTAGAAGTAGACAGTCATCATTCTTCGTCCATATTATGAGAAAAGGGGAAATGGAACATGTGGTGACCACTGGAAAGATCTGTGGAAGAAAGGATAGAGGAAGAAAAGGAGAGAAGATTCTTGACAGTCTTGTTGCATGACATGGAGGTGTGTCAGCACACGAACTAATACATGCTGCAGGAGATCGCAGATTGTGGAGAGGCTTAATCGCCCACGCCAGTCAGCAAGGCACCTGATGATGATAGTGATACTCTATTTGTATTCGTATTCGGCCGAATAGTTGGTCCCGTTATTCGTATTCTGTCAAATAGTGAAAATCACTATTCGGTACAGCCCTAGTTAGCATGAACCAAATTTTGGTCCTAGCAGGGACGCATCATTATTAATTTCCAGTTAGCAAAATCTGCTTTTAGCATAAACACATTTTCCGTCTCTTGAAATTCGAGGCTTTACCGTATTATACTTTTACATTTCAACTGAGCTTCGTAAAGAATCACACAACACCAAAAAGACACGTGTCTGAAACCCATGTATTCATTCTACTTTGACTTCTGACAATATTATACTACAACTCGGCAACAAGCTCCGACAGCCTGGACCGCACTCTCGCCGCCAAATCTCTGGAATCCATTGAGAGCAACACATGAGTCTACTCCATCGATTTCTGCAAGTTAAAAAAAAAAAATCGTACTGTCTCTAAATGATCATATGTAGTAAGCAAAGCAAACTAACAAACTCAGCCAATAAATTTACCATATACAGTAAATAACAAGCCAAGCCACAGAGTTTATCGTATGCAGTAAGTACGATAACAAGGCCAGCCATTACATTTATCATTAGTAGTAAGTAAAGTAACAAGCCCTGCCACCGAATTTTTCATATTCAGTTAGTAAAGTGTCAAGCCTAGACACTGAGTTTATTATGTACAGTAAGTAAAGTAACAAGCTCATCCACTGAATTTATCATACGCAGTAAGTAAAGTAATACGCCCAGCCACTGAATTTATCATATACAGTAAGTAAAATGACAAGCTCATCAACTGAATTTTTCATAAGCAGTAAGTAAAGTAACAAACTCATTTAATGCCACCGAATTACCACAGGCAGTGAGTAATATGAAAACACGAATTCTTGTTATGCCACTGGCATTATGGTGTTAGACCTATAGATTTATAGACCAGTGAGTGATGTCTTCAACACCACGTCGGCTGCTTATACTTCGTAGAATATTTCCTTCAATCCAAGGTAGAATGGGTCGGCCTAGGAGCCCTGGATCAGTGATAATAACAGCATGTTAAAAATTCGCCCTAATGTGAATTCCAACCCAAGACCTTTGAGCATGTAGGCGAGCGTTTTGCCACTCGGCCAACACTGTTTTCCTTAAAATGATAAAAATGCACGTGCAATGATCTGCAATCACAGAAGTTGGGCAATGAAACAGAGATTGGAGAAGATGTAAGACTTCAATCAGTGCAGTTATCTCCGTGCATGTGCTTCACGTCCCACCAGAGTGGCCTCATGTGATCCTCGGCTGTTCACCCGACAGTTTTATAATTTATCTGTCAGCATTGATGAAAAAAAAAAAAAATACTATCACCACTGCCCGTATAAGTGGGGCCGGGGGAGGGGGGTCATTGCGCCTGAAGATGTATGGCCATGACGGACTTTGCAGTTGACTTTCCGACAGAAAAAAAAAATCACCATCCTATCCAGGACACAAACCCCGATCTCCTGCACGTGTAGCCGGCATAATTAACTGTTTGGCCAGACTCTTCTCTGTAACTCATCGAAAGACACAATATAATTTTTACCTTAGTTTTCAAGCAGATGAGTATTCAGTAATCAGCAGACGACTGAGTATCATAGTTTACAAATAATATAGCAGTAATGTTGTGATTCTTGTAACAAGCTATCAGCCCGCCCCAGCGTGTGTGTGGGAGAATACTCAATTCCCTTGAGGTGCTTCGCATTGTTCTTGCCTCAGAAATGAACACCAGTTTGATTCTGACCATAAAACTAACCTAGATCAAAATTCATGGGCAATTTGGCTGATGATGCCCCTAGCTTCGTAAACTTAAGCATGACCGATTTGACACCTCGTGCAAATGTTCCCCTCCCCTCTCACCGCCATCCCCCCTTTTTTTGCCGGTCATATTTTATATCTGATTAAATCGGTCTGCAAGTTGTGTTCGTATAGCTGTCATCTTGTTTGCTTATCTCTAAAAATGAAGAGGAAAAAAAAAATGGAGGGATAAACTGAAATAATGAGAAATGAATAGCAGATGAATATATGTATCATAATTGGTTGATATTAAACATAAATTGTTGATAGGGAACTCCCTCTTTCCAGACGACAGTGTTATTCTGTGAACTGGGGGAGGGGGAAACGGGGATGCGAGAAAGGGGGTAAAGGAATTACAGCCCTAGTCGATGGCGTATGTGACAAGCAAGTCCCTTCCTGCGTCAAGAAATGTCTTCTATTACATAATCACAGAGTGAGATTTCAGGACACGTTGATGCCATCACATAAATGAAATATGCTTCTTTTTTTTTTCCTATTCCTATTCCAGTTGTCCAACAAAAATTCCAAATTTGACCCCTTTTCTGCTGCCCGTAGGCCGGCTATATGAAGGAAGGTTCCTTGGCTGTCTTATTTGGTTTCCTTTTATTGGTGGTGTGTATTCACACCTGATATTCAGGTTCTTTGCTTTCTTGGTGCGGTGTGGTGCTTGTGGCTTTTGGGTCTGGTGTGGTCCAGTTCTCTTAGTGCTTATCTCTTTGGTTTTTAGCTGATTATTGCTGGTGCTTGGTTTACCTCGTGCTGATCGCTGTGCTGGTGCCCTATTGCTGCTTGGTTGCCGTTCTGTAAAGCCGCCGGGAAAAGCCAAACAAACACCAGGTCACAACGTCTCAAACAATACTCCCTTTCAGGACAACCAGGACCGTCACAATCTGTTGTTGTGATCAGACCGTTTTTTTTTTCGTTCTTCTTTTCCTTTCAGTTCTTGATTTATCTGCAATTATCCATTATTTTCTTCCCAATTGTTTTCTGATTTTCAATCACTTATCAGCACGGACCTTGGTATGTCGTTTCCAGTCACGTGAATATCTCTGTCATTCATGTCCCGCTGCACAAATCTTTATAACGTCGCAGAGACCGACCTCGATACCTTCGACCCATCTGTAATTCACGACAGGGTTAGTCTGATGTTAGTCTCCTCAAATAGAGTAGATCACTTTTCATTCACAAGTTCGTTGTGCTGGTCGACTTTCCTGAAGGTTACGGGTGTGTCCCGCTCTGTTGTTTGGTTTCTGCGATGTCTTGCATTTACGTTTTCACTCCAAGAAAGAGAATGTCTGTGACATAGGTTGCAGCACTCTCTAGGGGGTTGTGTTAGACCCAATTTCTCCATGTTTTTGGTGTGTTAGTAGCGCTGGCGTGCTGAAATATATGTCATGCGATATCAACGGCATTGCGGAGAACACTCGTAACCTTGTGCGAAGGACACGAGGCTTAGGAACTACCAATCAGAATTGAGATATTGTGTATATGGGTGGTGTCTGGGGGAGACTAACATTACTTTTACCCACGACAAAGAATATCCTTAGGGACCCTCACTTAGGGACCCTCACATCATCCATTCTCCGGTGTGAAACAGCCGCCAGAGCCTCCCGAGACGGAGAACTGAAAAAACTGATGTGATACTTGCTGTTTCTATTTTCTAAGGGTTTGTGATTTTGTCTTGCCACTTATGCCAAGTATTCTTCCTAGGCATGACATTACTTTTTAAATAAAATACATGTTTACTATAACATTTGTTGAATATGAAAGTAGAAATAATTTTGTTGATGTTTATCATGTAAGAGCTCCCGAGTACCCACGTTTATCAGAACTTGTAATACATTCTAGCGGCCTATCAGTTCCATGTAATTACGACACTCGGCAGTACAGTTACGGATATATTACCTTCAATGAACGCTCCGGCACCTCTTCCATTGGGTGCGTGATAGTTACACCCAGTCAGTATAAAAGGAAGTTCAGAGGGACAAGTCATCACTGCTCTGTCTCCAACATTAGGACCACTGAATTCTGAATACATTGTGATGCAGTGCAGGGATGGATTTGCCTGGCAGCAGGAAGCATAGCCATAGACACCTGTTGAAGGAGATAGTGTAACGTGTATTCATATGATATGTTGAAAAAATGCTGAAAAATCCACTCTTTCTTTTCTTCTTCTCTTTCCACCGCCGTCCTCTTTAATGTAAAGGAAGTGCATCGTGTTTAAATATGCACCTCTCAAACTCATACATTTTCCCCACTGTTTCCTCTCCGGGTTTGCATTATCAGAAATTGACACCTTGCAATTTAAAACACCCACATGGGAAGAAGCATTGAATGGGCTGATATCATCAACACTGTATGGACTAGGCTAGTGGATAATGACGAGTTTCTGACACTAACACGACTGAATGACATCTCAGTAAGACACGTTAATGCAACGACAATCACGCCTTTTAGGGCCGAGATAGCAGATATTATAATACATTTTTCATGAGAACAATCAGTAGATGTACCTAGCAGTGGGCGCTGGTTCGTTGGACTGAGCACACATAGAAATTAAATCTTCCGAGAAGCATAAAGTCAAAAAAACGTACCCCAAAGCCATTAGTTTGATCCCCACTATAGTGGACAGTAGATTACTTAGTAACCTTGGGGTATCCCATCATAACTGGAGTTTGTTACAGTTCAAAGTGGGTTACAGTGCAAAAGTACACGCCATGTCGAACGTAATCGGCTATTCACAATTTTAGTGCAGGTCATAACACACATAACCGCAACAGACACAATAGAAAAAAAAAAGACACCATGAAATTCACAGTCTTTATTTATTATAACATTTTTTAGTCGTCGATATTCATGAAATAAAATAGATGATAAATATTTACAGTAAGCATTATCTTCCCTGTGTGGCCCCATTATCCCATTTGGGGCTAGTACAGTCCCACTGTTATCTAACAAGCATGTCGCAAAAGGCGACTAATTAGGGGTATTCTAAAATCGGATGTGTTAGGCTGAAAGGCGCAGATATGGCAACCTAGCTATGAACCACAACATGCCAACCGCTCTTCTAGGGTAGAAAGCAGAAAAATAAGAGGAAATCATCAGCTTATGTTGATCCAGCTTTATTATTAATAAAAAGTAAGTCAATAAAGAACATGTCGGCTATCTTCCCAATAACGGTCCTAAATTATCGGGGCAGAAAATATACCCTAACAGTGCCTCAGTCACGATTCAATTGCGCACTTCCGGGGACTATACCGCCACCCCCAAATTGCGATTTTCCGGGGACTATACCGCCACCGCCGACAGTATCCTACATGCCACTCACGCGGCGTGGACTGGGGCTAAACTAGATGGCTGGGACTCACGAGCAAATAAAATGAAGGAAGCTGCAGGAGATGCGGTTTCTGATGCTCGTACGTCCTAGCCATCTAGTTTAGCCCTAATCCACGCCGCGTGAGCGGCGTTGTGATACCCTCGGCGGTGGCGGAAGTCGCCGGTAGTGCGCAATTTAAGTCGCCTGAAGTTCGCAATTGACACGTGACTGAGACTCTGTTAGGTTATTTTTTTCCGCCTCGATGAATTCACCCTGTTAGAAGATAGCCAACATGTCTAACATCACCGGCGCATCGGACACAATACACAAGACTTTTTTCCCCCAGACATATCGACGCTCAGCGGCTGATATGTCAACATAGTAATGATCACCTTTATTTCCAGGATATTTCCTTATAACACCTTTAGGTCATGTCAATAAGTTTTGTTTTTCCAGAACCATTTTCCACGGCTTCAGGCGTAGTGGGCATGTCGGGCTTGATCTATATTTCATAGACCAGTCGGCTCTTAGGGGGTGATGTGGTCAGCATTACCCTGGCCGTCTTCACTTCCTAGGACTGCACCTAGTACCCATTTAAGGCTGGGTTGACCTGGAAGTCAAAGCGACTTTTTAAAATTTCCATATGACAGTACTGGGTAAATAATGAAAACCAGACTCGATAAGAATTCGAATCAAAACAGTTCAGGCCGGCAGGGAAGACCATATTATTAGGTACTTAGTATATCTGACCATCAAGGAGAACTGGCTCATAAACGGTATCCTGTCATTAACGGTGAGGCATTTTGGCAATGTTAAGCATCATAAGACATAGTGGCCTGGAGGGAACGGTGATGGAGGGAGCAGTTTCCGGAAAAAGAAGCAGAGGTCGATGTCCGCGCCTGTGGATTTGAAGCATTCAAGATGCATTAGTATGAAAGCACATAGGGCTGGAGGACTAGCAAAGGAAAGAAAGACATTGTGAAGAGAGTGGCCTTCTGTAATGAATCTACTGATTGAGGATGGTGAGAACATGTGAGGACGAAACACTTCACACCTCTCCTGTCATGGGATTATTTCAATAGTGTGAATTACCTTCAAAGTACTAACGTCCTTACTCACATAAGACTCCAGACTACAATCGGCTTGCGTAACCATTACGGGTGAACTAAATATAACTTTTTAAATCTCAGTGTGGCAAACCTTCAGATAACATCTCAGAGGGGAGAAACCGATCGAATAACTAAAGTACTTACCAACAACTGGATCGTCATTCTCTCCTACGCAGAAGGAGCTTGTGAAAATTGTACCGGCTGACTCAGCTTCAAACGTCCATGAACCACAGCCTAAAAGAGGAAGAGGGAAAAATGCACGTATATCCATACTGCTGGTCCACAGATCAAACTAGCTTCACATTGAACCATTCAGTCTCTAAGTACTCTCTTTCTGTCTGTCTCTCTCTCTCTCCCTCAATTGCTCTATCTCTTTCTGTAAGAATATCCTTCAGCATTTACTGCATTTATACCATTGATGTCTCCAGTGAGGGTTTTTCTGTACTGAAGTGTTGAGACAGCTGGCCGAAGCAGTCGCCAGGCTTTACAGAAGCTTATTGTCATTGTTTGTTTTCTTAATTTCTGAATGATACAAAGTACAAGGTTCTCAGGGGAGAAAAGCATAAATTCTTAGGTGTGAGATGGAATCAAACGTTTGCTTTAAACAGCAACGTTTAGGAAAGAAAGAATAGGTATTTTTAAAGACCTAGATTATATTATATCAAACGATTCTTACCAACTGGATATTCGCTATCTGCGCAGGGAATAATGATTTCATCCCTTTCTCCGGTGCCCGATGGGCCGGCAGTTCTGTATCGGCACTGAAGACTTCTGAGGCTGCAGCATCGTGCTTCTGCTTGGACACCTGGTGGACACATAATTATAATCAATAGGTTTTGAGTTATGAACTATGATTTAAGAACTCACATCAAAGCACTCAGGAACATTTCCATAAGCGCTCTGTCCCAATATTCAGCAGCAAGCACAGGGTTCCTCTTTTGATGGTCCCAGTAACAGTCCGATTGTATATCCGTTTTTAACCATCCTGAATGTTGAGCGTCGGCCATATCCCCTCACTGAACCATTTTCTTCAGACCGTGCAGATCTATTTGTGCCTCCACGCTGTTTACTCGCTCCCAGAAGACCCTTACAACCTCTAGCTTGTCAAGCATAAGTCAACCACCAAGTGCTGCAGTACCAGCCAATCTAATTTGCCTGGTCATTTCCCAACATTCTAACATTACCTGGAGGAAATACCTAAGAGGACGCTATCTACCCGGGACATCTAAAGCGATGCATGTCCCTCTGCACAAAGCATATTTGTTTCTACCTTTCTCAAAATGCTATTTGAGTCCATTCCATATATTCATTCAACAATTTGTCTTGCCCATCCCGAAAAAATATTTTATCTCATACAGCTTCACGCAGTAAAATTCAATCTCAGACAAATCAATACATCTCAATTATATCACCATTTGCAATGATCCCCTTAACGAAATAATACCAGCGAAACCTATGTAAATGTCGATGGAGCTAAATAGTTTGTGCTTTGTCCGACCCCTTATATAAAAACACGCGCGTATTCGAATGCAACGTTGTGTAAAATTTTGAAAGTAATCGGTGAAAAACTTTCGAAGATTAGCTACCACCCACAGAGGAACATTTACATTTTCATTTAAATAGACATGTTTCCGTGTAATCTTGTTTTTCTTCTGTTACAGTAGAATATGACTTTATTTCCTTACTTCATGTATCTTTACTTGAAGATATAAACTCTTACACAATGTAAGGCAGGAGAGTATAGCATTGCCTATCACAACCAGAGAGGAATGAAACATAATACGGTGTTGCCATTTTGTGATTAAAATTGATCGTGTATGCAATCTGCTGATCTGTTGGTGACCTCTGCTAGTCACTAGTGCTACCATCCATGAAGAACTGCATTTCTAATGTCAAACTGTTTGTGTAGGCACTTCGGGTGGCTACCGTATGCTTTTAATGTGTGTGTATGATAGACATTCTGTGTGATTTTCGTTAGCACAGGAGCAGAGCAACTATAGGGGTGACCCGTTTTCTATGAAGCTGAAACTAAGATTACCAGATCACCAGATAACACGATCATCATAGTTTTTCCGAATATACCAATAAACAAATAAAACAAGGTGTTGTTGCGATTTAATTTACCCACCTGCAGAAGAATAATGTCCGTTGAAGGCTGTACAAACAGCCTTTCCATTTACAAAGGTCACTTGTTCACCATCTCGACGCCAGTCATTGTTCTGAAGATCAATTGAACCATAAGAAATAACGATTTAGTTGATGTTTCAGTCTCCATGCATGTTGCACAGTAATATCTTGCTAGCTCATTATTTTAATACCTGCCACTTCATGGAGGAGAGAGAGAGAGAGAGAGAGAGAGAGAGAGAGAGAGAGAGAGAGAGAGAGAGAGAGATAGCGAGACAGAGAGAGAGAGAGAGAGAGAAGAGAGAGAGAGAGAGAGAGAGAGAGAGAGAGAGAGAGAGAGAGAGAGAGAGAGAGAGATTACACATAGAACGTTATAGATTAGAACTGTAGCTTAATTTTTAGGATGTCAAAACAATTTTACGCTAGAAGGTAATAGAGATTTCTAGATGGGCATATTTGAAAATGCTTGACGGCAACCATGAAAGTAGAGGATGATGCTGACAAAAACCATCTTCAGGAAATGCTTATGAAAACTGACTATAAACTGAAAAATGTTCTTACAGTGGCAAAGCTGGAACACCCTGTAAGAACCTCTCCAGCGTTGCAACCGATGGTGACTGTCTTTTCGTCTCCTACCGCGGACACAGCTGATCTTCGAGAAACACACTGGAGTTGTTGAGACTGAGACGTGGACGTGCCGTGACCTATTGTCTGCAGGTTCAAGCTTGATGTTGCAAATTCAAAATCTTGAGGTGCGAATGGATCAACAACAGTTGGCAGCTGAATTTCTGAAAGGAATATAGTGGGTAATCATTTATAGATTATATTGCCAATGGAAGTATTATAAAGACATTATTTGTTGTAAATGGCTCAGAGTATTCTAATTTGATAACCTTGCCGAGTGTGTTCCATGATGAAGATATTCTAGTCTTAATGTATCAAATGTTTTCAGTGTGTGTCCTATCCAGTATCAAGGATTATTTTTCACGTGTTGATACATAATTACAGTGCACCTAGGTGTACGTTGGCTTTGACATACATTCAGACTAGTATATGTCCGGTTTAGACTATATTTTTTATTTAGTATACGACCTTTGTTTAAAACAAAACCGCAGGTTACAACCTGTGTGAGTCAAAATTGGCCACCGCACTGCGTCCTATCTTTGTTTACCTATCGCGAGACAAAGCCACAGATATATGACAATGCCGTTGCAGAGGATTTACCTCCAACAAAGCCCAAAACAAGCCGTGATAATGTTGTCTGGAATGACCACACAATGTCACATTTCTGAAACATCGTGAGGAGAAGCCAGAAACAGTTCTTTGGAGAGATTAGAGTAAAAGTCAAACCTGATGAGCCTCAATCGGCTCCAAGAAAGAAAAACGGGAAAAGAAAATTACCAGAATTTAAGATTCCTGAAGTTTTATTGGTAAGGGACCCTCCTTTCAAACAATAATATTTGCCTCCTCCTTTTTTCCCACCTCTCAACACCAGCCTAGTAGGCACCTGACTGTTCTCAGGAAGGTAAAGTTACGCACAATTTACATTAATTTCATCTAATTGCTTTTGTATGAGTGCATTGTAGTAGGAGACAGTATATAAAGCTAGGGTGGGACCTGGCTAAAGAGAACTTGATTCGTGCACGTAAGAGGTAAGCTGCACATTTCAACCGGAAGACGAAGGAACGATGTCTTGATGTTGGAGATAGGGTTCTTTTGCTGCTACCATCAGGGAAGTCTAAGTTAGAGTTAGCTTGGGGAGGCCCTTATACGGTGGTAGAGAAGATATCCAGATCCATTATAAGATCAACATTGAAGGTAAGTCAAAGGTCTATCACATTAATCTCCTCCGGAAATACAACGAGAGAGAGGTAAGTGACACACCTACCCTCTTGACACTTTCTGTAGCTATGGAGGTGGAAGGTGGAGAAGCCACAGCTGTGGAATATCCTCTTCACCCCAGGGAGACCTATAAAGATGTAGAGGTTAACCCAACTCTCTCTGTCTCTCAGAAACAAGCTATAGAACAACTCTTGTCAGAGTATAACTCTGTCCTGAGAGTGAAGCCAGGGCACACTTTATTAAATGAGTGTTTTACGACATTGGTTCCTGTTGAGCCTTTTCGTCAATGCCCTGTGCAAGCTCCTCTTTTTAAAGAGGAATGGAGTAAACCTCCAGACCATCAGGAGGACCAGAAGGTGAAGAATTTTCAATTCACACCAGGATTCCTTCCTGTGTTTGTTTAAGCACATAGTGACGAGGGGAGGATGATCCTTCCGAACCTCGCGAAGGATCAGACGGGAGGGATTATATCCCACATGCCTCGACGACCTTCCTGTGTGACTACTGATGTAGGAGACACACCGGTATATTACCTGAATATGACAGGAGTACCAGGATGGTGTGTAGGTTTATTCAGCCAACCCGATCGGGGGGTTCGGTCTGAACCTACATCTTTGCATGTACCTGGCAGGGATCAGTGATACATGGAGGGAATCATCAGTCTTAGGTCCTCAGGGCCATCGACTGATTCTATATAGATTCCTTGTTGATTAGTATTGTAGAGTGGTCATAGGTTTCTCTATTTTCACATGAATTGTCATTATTGTAGATATTTCATCTGTCTCTGAGAGGTTGGTTTGGTCAACCCTTTGATTCAGAGCAGATTTCTTGAGCCGCCATCACTTGTCTGATAATTCACAGACTGAAGGTGATGAGCAAGCTGAAAGTAGTGAGTCCATAGATGTGTAAATGGCTGATCATTGTTCATTCGCGTAGTACGCTCTTCCCTTTGGGGGGGGGGGGGGGGGTACTGTCGTGAAATGATAAGCCATTACGCATCAGTCCGTAAGACTGGTAACCTAACTTACCTGTAATCGGCACAAAATTCAAACTTGGACTCGCCCGGAAAGATATAGTCCCTTATATCTATATATATATAGGCCTTTATTGGACAACATTATTATGTCTACATTTTCTGGTTGCTTTAACTAAACTCCACTTTTAAATGTATATATCTTCGATATATATTAGGGGAGTTATTAGAGGTTTCTTTGAAACCGATTTACTCCTTGCCCATGTATACTAGGGACTCCTTTTTTACCAATGCTTGAAGCAGGGTTGCCATATTGGCATTTTTTATGCCAGATTCCACAAATCTGGCATATTTGAAATTGAACTGGCATAAGATAATGAACTGGCATATTCTGGCATATTTGGGTTTTTCCTGGCATTTCTTATCAAGATGTGCTCACATTTTCTTCATGGTTCATCTTTTAGAAACACACAAATTTACTAAAAGCAATGTAGACCTACAGTTAAAATCTTTATTTCAGTTTGACTTTGTTGTGATGTCCTGGCACAGACTAACGGAGATTCGCGCCACTTCTTACTGTTTTGTTGTCTCCTAAACGGATCATGACTGCGATAAAACTCTGTAATTTATGTTAATTTACTAGAATAAATGCAAGATATAAAACGAAAACCCACCACTGATACCACGTGATTCAGACTGTTCAGAAACTACTTGAGGACAGAAAATATATAGGATATAGTTCTATCTGTGATATATTTTAATAATATTTTTAATAATATTACTTCACTTTTACCAATGGCCACGTCATCCAAAAAATGGAAAGCATCTTATGACAGCAATCGCAAGTATAATAGTAATTTGGACAAAAAATACGCATGGCTCAAAAGATCTTCAGACGGATCAGAGGCAGCATATTGTAAATTGTGTCAGTGCACTGTTGCACCAAGAATTAGTAGCATTTCAAATCATGAAAAATCCGAAAAACAGGATGAAAACTCCGTCAAAAAGCTAGTCACAGCTTATTACAACAATAACTCCTAGACAATGTAATGATAAAGTTAAAGCAGCAGAGTTGCAACTTGCTGTAAGCATGACCTGCCATTGTGCAATACGCACAATTGATCATCTAAGTGAAATCATGAGAGCGCATGGTCAGGGAAGTACACTGGAGCACATACAGTTGCATAGAACTAAATTTTCATGCTTAATAAAAAATATTATATCGCCTGCACTTAAGGATGACCTTATAGAGGTTTTTCGGAACAAGAAATATGCCATCATTATAGATGAGTCTACTGACGTTTCCACTCAAAAGCACTTGTGCATTATTGTTCGTTTTTTCAGTGACAGGAAAAATGAAATATTTACTGGATTTCTCGCTTTAATTTCCTTGCAAGTGGCTACAGGAGAAAACATATTTAATTTGATTGATAAGGAAATCAAAAGGTGTGGTCAGAGTCTTACAAATTGCATTGGTTTTGCCTCAGATGGCGCTTCAAACATGATCGGGTGGAAGAACTCGGTATGGTCCAGAATTAAAGATGTGTCTCCTTTTTGTGTACAGCTCAGATGTATCTGCCATTCACTAGCACTCTGCATTTGTAGTGCAATTGCCAAGCTACCATCCAATATTGGTTTTCTACTGTCAGAAATACCTCAGTGGTTTCGTCATAGTGATTTAAGACGAGAAGCCTATAAAGAACTGTTTAGAGTGATGAACACATCTACGGAGTTTGAATCAGAACGAACTGCTCCTCTTCCATTTGAGAAACTGTCATCTACTAGGTGGCTTGTGCGTGGAAAGATAATGTTCAATATGTTGGTGAACTGGGAAGAATTGAAAGCTTATTTCACATGTGCTGAATTAGCCCAGACAACGTTTGACACAAAATATAAAGTAAGATTGTTAAAAGAAATGCTGTTAGACCACAATAATTATTTGTACTTTGTGTTTGCGACACCAATTGTACAAGAATTTGAAAGACTGAACAGTCTTTTTCAACAAACAAAAGCTGATCCACATGAACTACACCAAGAATTATCCATGCACCAGAAAAGTCTTAAGAACAGACTGTATGACGTCAATGAGCAGAAAAAAAATATTCATCACGTTGACTTTGGTATTAAATTCATAACGGAATGTAATGCGTTCCTCCTTAAGAATAACAGGACTGAAGTTCAGATAGAAATAAACAATGTTAAAGAAAGATGTATGTGTGTGTGCTAGAGGAAGCTCTCAGTCAAATTACGTGTAGACTTCCCACTGAGAATGTATTTCAAAATCTGTCAAAATTGAGCCCTTTGGCAGTTTTAAATCAAGTATCAAGGACACAGTTTTCAGAGCTACCATTTTTACACCTGGCAGAAAACAACATCAGTATTATAGAAGAACAGTACAGAAAATTGATTCTTGTCAACTGGAAAGAAGAAGCTACTTTTAAGAAGGATGGACTACCTACAAACAGTGAAGATTTTTGGATAGGCGTACTTCGACACCAGGCATTTAAAGAGTTGGCCACTTTCGCCCTTACTTGCTTAATAATGCCCGTTAGCAATGCTGTAGTTGAAAGAATATTCTCTCTTGTAACTTCAACTAAATCAAAAGCAAGAAACAAAATACAACTGGATTTTCTTGATGCAGTTGTTAGAATTAGAGCAGAACTATTGATATCAAAGAAATGTTGCAAAGACTTCATACCATCTGAGAAAATGCTTAAAGATTTTACATCCGAAAAGGTTTATGCTGCATCTTCCACTGGTTCCAGTGAGGAGGACAGTGAAGAATTCAATCTAGAGCTTTTGATGTGAAGTAAGTACAATGTTACAATATTTGGCAATTTTCTGGCATATTTTGGGTAATAGTTTGGCATAAAATTCAGTTTTTCATCTGGCAACCCTGGCTTGAAGTGCTTAATTTGCGCCATTCGTTCTTGCCAGCTCCAAGCGTCCAGACGTGTCAATCTATGCCTGTATAAATTCAATTTCACAAGGCGATCTGGAATGTCTCAGTTTTTGCATATGCTTGGGTAAGTTAATTATAGTTTACGAGTACCTAAAATGATGTCTGTAAAGTAGTCACTGCTGTAGAGATCAGTATCCGCTGTGGGATCACACATAATTCGACCGTTCTTCATCGCTAGAGAAGCGGATTCGAACGAAGACCTTCCCCTGTACATACTAAATAGCCTATGCCTTAAATAAACCACTCATACTGGTAAACCTAAAACCTTACAAGTGTGTACTATTTAAACTAACTTTAGAAGTTTGTGCATACAAAATGGGGACAGAATTAGGTCAGGACTTTGTCGGCCAGTGTGTGGAGTGTGTTTGACCCAGATCAATGAATGTTAGGACTAGCTTTGAGTGGCATAAGAAATAAATGTACTGACAGTAAATATTGGTGTCTGTGTGCAGAGGGGAGGGGAGAGAGAGAGTGATATATGTGTTAGAACACTCTATCTATCTCCACTGTATATCTGACTTGCCTTCTCTTGCACTAAACAGACAGATGAATATGGGAGACTTGGGTCTCCGGGTCTGGAGAGGCATTCTGAGGAATGAAACAGGAAAGCAAGGGTGGAGTAAGCAGATGTGGGATATGACTGATGCTTGTTCTGTCTTTCCTGTCAAGATGTTACCCTCTTGGTGATGACTAATTCTGAGTTATTTCTTGGCAGGATGAATCCTTTGTGAAGAGCGGGCAGAAGAATCACAGTCCAACCAACATCCACCCACCAACCATAACCCATCAATCAATTAACCCATCACCCACTTATTATCACCCAACTACCAATTGAGAAGACTGTCCTCCTCAAGATGGGGTACAATATAACCCAAACATCATCCAGTGCCAGAGCATGTGTGTAACTCAGGGACAGTACTGTGAGTTACTCGTGGGAGCAGGTGCTGTGTGCCTATCCAGTTGCGGTGTGCCTATCCAGTTGCTGTATGCCTATCCAGTTACTGTGTGCCTATCAAGGTGCTGTGTGCCTATCCAGTTGCTGCGTCCTCTATGGTGAGGTACTCTTCCATTACCTGATCCAGTTGAGCAGAATTACCAGGGTCAAAGACAGTCGATTCACCCGGAGCTGAGTGAGGCATCAACAGTGGAACTGGGATAAGTGAAGTTTATGTCTCGATTATACAGCTCCACTGGATTCCAAGGATGAATATATGCTTCCTCCAGGACTTTCTGACTGTTTAACTTTGGTTGATTATAGTCATTGTATTCTGGAATCCAGCTGTTGTGTTTTGACATCTACTTCACTATTTTCTATTTTGTACATGTTGTAATGATTACATGCATTCATTTTCATGGCTGACTTAGGTTTCTCTATTTCACCTTTTTAAATGTCTAGCATTTGTGTGTGTATGAATCTTAACTATATGTGTTAACATGGTTATGATAATGACTTATCATAACCTGGGGGCTTTCTTTAGTAAGTAGTGGGGGGTTTCCAGCCAAGTGTGCCTAGAAATATTGTATGCATATACTGACATATTTTGTAGTGCCAATACTTGAGTTGCCCTACTCCAGAGATAAGTTGAGCGTATATTGGCCACGGAGAATCCCTTAGACCAATACGAGCCAAACGACTCAACATAATTATCTCTGAGTGCTGTTGGTTCTGAAGGAGAAATCCTTACATTAGGCACGCGACAGGAGTGATATGTGACAGGCAGGACAATGTCGAGACGATTGGAAATGTACCAAGGCGCAATGAATGACCAAGGCATCTAAAGTGCTCTACCTTAAATTCCGTCAGTAAAATTACCTTACCGCCCTTTTTAGGATGCAATATTTTGTTGTTTGAAGCACTACTCTGACTCATGCCAGGGGCCGCAATATAGCCCGGCTATAATTATTACGTTGAACCAAAAAGAGGTTTCGTTCGCACAATCCGCCGAGTCCAGTCGGTAATAACAAGGCCTCTATGTCCTACACGGGTTCTCATTTTAAACGTATGATTAAGTAACCTCAGAAGGAACTCTCCCTGTAATGTAACTGTATGCTATCTTTATTAGGTTAACGATTTTTTTAAAGGATTTTACAATGTTACAAAGATTTTTCAAAAAAAAAAAAAAAAAAAAAAAAAAAAATTACACGTAATAGTAAACACGCCGAACCATCTTTAGATAAACTTGTAAACAATGTTTATTGAATGTTACATTTACTGTCTGTCTGTGCCCAAAAAAAAAGCTTAAACACTCCACCCCCACCCCCAATAACCCCCCCCCCCCCCGCCCCACCCAACAAAAAAAAAAAAAAAATAAAGGCAGCGCCTAAATTTGTGAAACAAACATTTGTTTTGCAGATGTTTTAATGTTAGATATCAGTCATTCTTATAACTTCTTCGGCTGATATTGACACGATGGGTGCTACTTTGTTACAGTTTCCTAAACATTCTACAATACATCCACTATTAAATATTTTATATTTTGCATGCAGCATGTCTTTAGAATTCTAGTTCTATTTAATCACAGAAAAATGCCATTCCATGTGGCAGGTGTTAACGGAAATCTGTAATAAGAAACACCAAAAATAATTGGCATTTTCTTTGTTTTTATAATTTTCATTTAGTGTTTAGTACTTTCGCAAATGTTTGCAAACATCATTTTTTTTAAAAACAAATAACATGAAATTTGTGTTTCCCCAGTTTTAACTTTAAGGCACAAACAATAAACTACAAAATTTATTGCCTGGTATAATATTATCACAAGACAGCGAAATCGGACAATTAGGAAAAACAAGTCGCTAAGCATAATCTAAATAATATTCGCTGGAAAAGCAAGGCAAACTGAACGGGACAAAAATAATTCAATGAACTAAGCGCCGGCGATTGGCCGAAAAATTCTTGCCTCGTTTACCCTGGTAAAACAGGCATTTGAGTATCATAATAGTAAGTACGACGTTAGTCTCCCCAGACCTCACCCATATACACACTATCTCACTTCTGATTGGTAATTCCTGAGCCCCATGAACGTGTTGCAGGGTTACGAGTGTGTTCCGCATTGCCGTTGATATCGCGTGTTGTATATTTCAGCAGGCCAGCGCTTTTAACACTCCAAAAACATGGAGAAACTGGGTCTAACACAACTCCTCTAGAGAGTGCTGCAACCCATGTTACAGGCATTCTCTTTCTTGGAATGAAAACGTAAATGCAAGTCATCGCAGAAACCAAACAACAGACACACCCGTAACCTTCAGGAAAGTCGACTTGCCCAAAAAACTTGTGAATAAAAGTATAATGTCACCTACTCTATTTGGGGAGACTAACTTCGAACTAACCTGTCATAATTTTAAACAAATTTTCAGAGAAAAGGATTCACTCATTTGTCCGATTTAACTTAGGATGAGATCAAGACACCAATGGATCTGTCCAGAGTCCAAGTTTAGAGTCCCCATTAGTCACTAAAGAATAATTTTTTTTTTTAGGTTTAGCATATTGAATGGTTGCTTTAATATGTGCAGGATATACTGTACTTAAGTGACAGTGAAATATCTTCAGCAATTGCAATAAAAAGAAACAGTGGTAAAGTGTTTTATACAAACCTACACGGTTATATGCTTGTGAGACCTAAATTAAATTAGAAACCTGAAGCTGAAATATGGCTTTTGAGAAAAATGGAGAGAACATCCTGGATGAACCGAAAAACAACGGAGGCCATAATCTTGGACACAGAAGAACGTCTTAAACTGATTTGAGAAACTACACGTAGAAAGTGTTTTGAGAAAGCAGGGACTCGAGAACGTGATATCAACCGGTAAGAATGATGGAAAGAAAGCAAGGGGAAGGTAAAGCGATAAATACCTGGATGGCTTGACCACAAGGATCGGGTTTGAGAAGAAAACTGAAATGATCCGCAGTTTTCCTGGTCAGGTGGGATGGCGAAACATGACAGTCTGCTCTTACCATACGACACAGGATGATGATGATGGTGATGATACATTTTCTTGTAGCCTTTGTGGTGTAACGGCTAGACGTTTGTCTGCTGTCCCGAAGTCTTAGGTCCTAGACGGATTTAAAAGAAAAATCCTATGGCAGGTTGACTCAGCCTAAAATTGAAACCAGCGAAAGTCCTTGGAAGTTAATTAAGAAGACCGGCGTCATGTTGTTTACATCGCGCATCGAGTACCGTTTGTTCTATTAAAATACGATTCTAGCAACATTAGTCCCACGGGCCACTAGGATGAAAATGATCAAAAACTTTGTTATTCTATTCATTAATGAACCAGTAACATCGCTCACCTGCAGTGGCAGTCACGTTAATTGTGACAGTCGTGTCAGCCTTCCCCAGAGTGAATGTAGTTCGCTGTACTGGCTTGCCCCTGTAGTACACAACCGCAGCATAGTCTCCCTGAAAACCTCTGACGGTGAAGGAAGTGCCTGTCTTCAGAGACTGTGTAACGTGAGTGCTCCAATCTTGTTTGATCAACCGCTGGTACCGCTTTCCAGCCTCGTCCAGCTAGAGAGAACAAGCCAGATTAGAATAGTAATATAACTGAAGGGTAGTGGTTAAAACGCATCTCACATTGAAAGTTAAGTTCTTAAGTGCACGCAGTATTTAAGTAGAGCATACTGTTTTCAACAGGAGAAACGGCTATATATCTTTCAACTGCTATACTCACGAAGAATACGTGACACTAAGCGACAAAGTAAGATCACAAAGACTCGGGTTTTGAAAAAAAGCGGGCATCAACAAATTTCTCGGTGATTAGTTTTCAAAGGCCAAGATGGCTTGTATCATTCTGAGGATAGAGGATAGGACAATCTGGCAATCCTCCAAATAATAGTCCTATATTATCGAGGCCGAAATTTACCCTAACAGGGCCTCAGTCACATGTAAATCGTGGACCTCTTTCCGGCGACTATACCGCGGAGGGGGACTAAACCAGATGGCTGAGCCTCACGAGCAAATAAAATAGAGGAAGCTGCAGGAGATGCGGTAGCGGCTGCTCGTGAGTCCCAGTCATCTAGTTTAGCCCCGTTCCGCGCCAACTCTCGGCAGTGACTTTAACTCGGCGGAAGCGTTTCTGCTGCATGCTGTTTAGTCCCCGGAAAGAGGTCCGCTATTTACATGTGACTATCACTGCGTGCCAGACTGAAGTATACATGGATGGAGCAGAATATCAGATTCTGAAACTACAAACTGGAAATGCAGACTTCTACCTGATCAATTATTACTGCCCAAGTGATCGTCCCCAGGCATTAGACACAATACCAGTGGAAGAAAAGATGATTCTATGTGGAGACTTTAACAGCCACTCACAAAGATGGGGGTATGACCATATAGACCAGAAAGGAGAAAAACTGGAGGAGTGGCAGGATGAGAACAGACTTATTCTGATTAATAGGCCAACTGATCAACCGACATTCTACTCGAGGTCGTGACACACCACTACTACCCCAGACCTAGCATTTCACTCTCCAGATCTGGAATGGAAGTTTAAACGAGTTGTTGGAAATCAAATGGGAGGCAGTGACCATCGACCGGTCTTCCTGAATGTAGAAAATGAGATGGTTAGAGAAACTAGTACGCTGCCAAGGTGGAACTGCAAGAAGGCTGACTGGACAATGTTCAAGCACCGTACCAGTATACTGCTTGGAAGTCTCAGCGCAGACCAGGATATAAACAAAGTAGTTAAATAATTTAACAAATGCGTACTAAAGGCAGCAGGAGAATCAATACCAAGAGGTGCCCGTAAGCATTAAAAGTCATACTGGAGTAATGAGCTAGAAAATTTACATAACGAAGTAGAAACATCCAGAAAGATAGCAGAGACCAGGCCAAACCAAGAACATAACAATAACTACCAGCATGCAAAAGTAAAATATGTAAGGGCAGAGCTGCAGGTTAGAAGGGAAAGCTGGCAGGAGAAAACAAGGTCGCTGAACTTTGAAAAAGACACAAGAAAGTTATGGAAGCTTGTGAAATAAATTAATGATGAGGACACAGGGTGGAACTCAATGATCACACTGCAGAAAGATGGAAACATGGTCATGGGAAAAGAGGCAGCCAACCTATTTGCGGACACTTTTGCTTTAGATAACGACATTGAAATCACTTCAGAGAAAAACGCGAAATTCAAGAAAAGACACAATTTAGAAGTCAGAAAGAAATAACATCAGAGGCGCTAGTTGTGCCAATTACATTTAATAAACTGGAGTTGGCCATTTCAAAGCTGAAAATGCGGAAGTCACCAGGAGCAGATGGTATATCAAACGAAATAATCAGAAACTTAGGAACAGTAGCCAAAACAAAGCTTTCACAGATATTTAATGCTTGCTGGGCAACAGGGAATGTTCCACAGATCTGGAGAGAGGCAATTATGATATCCCTCATAAAGACTGGGAAAAACAGTTCTAATGCCTCCAACTACAGACCGATCAGCCTCACAATCTGTCTCTGTAAAACAATGGAGCGCATCACCAATCTCAGACTACAGTGGTACATTGAAAGTGAAAACATCATTACACCACAGCAGGCGGGCTTTAGAAAGTTCTACTCTACGGAAGACCAGACAACATAACTCTCCCAAGAAATAGAGGATGCTTTTCAAGATAAGAAAGAAACTGTTACTCTCGGCATGGATAGATTTAAGGAAAGCTTTTGATAAGATTTGGAAGAAGGGGCTTTTGAAGAAATTGAGAAACTATAAAATAAATGGAAAAATGTACAACTGGATTAAAGCATATCTACATAACAGAAGAGCCCGGGTACAGGTAGATGGTTTTAAAAGTAAAATAGTCCTTCAAGGTTGTGTCCTGTCGTCCACACTTTTCCTCTTATTCATCAACGACCTGGTTGCTGAGATACCAAATGGAATCAATGGCAATGTACGCCGACGACCTGGTACTGTGGTGCACCAATGAAAATGCAACAATAGCCACATAAACACTTCAGCGGGCTACAAATGCACTTGAGGCATGGGTCAATAGGTGATGTGTCAGCATCAACACAGACAAATGTAGCACCACACTCTTCACCCTCTCCCCAAAACGGAATACCGCTAAAAGTTGATAAAGAGGCCACATACCTAGGAGACACATTTGATGACAGGTTGACATGGAGAAAACATATCAACAAGGCAGCAACCAAAGCCAGGAGGAAGACAGCAATACTAAGAAAACTAAGTGGAACCACATGGGGAACCGATAGGAAAATACTCAATAAAGTATACAAGCAGAGCATACTTCCACACTTGGAATATGGGTCAACTGCATGGTGCTCAGCATCTAGTACCACATTAAAGGAGTTGGACAAAGTGCAAAATCAAGCGCTCAGAGTCACCACAGGAGGAATGAAATCAACCCTCATATTAGAAATGGAGAAAGCTGGGAAAACACAGGCACTGAGAGAAGGCAGAGATACAAAGTTGCAAATACAAGGTGAAAAGTTCCTCAGCATGCCAGATCACCCGATGGAAAATAGATTTAAGAACCTAGCCTTGGGACGGTTCAAAAGAAGCAGCTTTATACACCAAGCAAAAAAAATAAAATAAATGTAGACAAAATCCTGACCTTCCAGAAATTGTATTTTTTCCAGATGTCGAGATCGGCCTCTACTACGATATGAAGATGTGTGCAAACGAGACATGAATGAACAGGGTGATTGTTCTTTTTCTAAGCCCATAAAGGTAGTAAAACCGACTTCTTAAGGGGGGGGGGGGGGGTTGGGGGGGGTGGGGGGCCGTGTTGTAACGATTAGATGCTTGCCTGCGAATCGGAAGGTTGTCGGTTGAGATCTTGACAAAGCTTGAATTTTTTTTAAATAACCTTGATGAAATTTTTAATGGATTCAAGATAGTATCCTAGGAAGTAAAGGCGACCGGCGCAATGTTGACCACATCCCCCATCGAGTGTCGATTGGTCTATAAAATATAGGTCAAGCCCTATATGCCCAACACGCATGAAAGCATGAAAATGGCCCTTTACTTTCACGCCTTTTCAATGGTAAGAATGGCCTTGAAATCCCATACACCTATTGTAAAAGACTTTACTTAACGCGAGCGGGTCTTGCTAGCCATACTCGCTATTGCCATGGGCTATGATTCTTATCCCCCCCCGCCCTTTCCATAGCACAGTATAACCTTATCGTTTGGCAAGACATAGAAGTGTTAAAATTAAAACTATTTTTCAATAAAAGCAACTAATATTATTATTGTTATCAAATGCTGCTGCAAAAAAAGACAGTAACTACTATTATACATGACTAATTAATCATATTTAGTCTATAAAAATTTAACAAAATGCCACCTAAGCATATCAAACCCAACTCTAGAAAATTTATATATATATATATATATAATCACACATAGACTACATGTAGTTTCATTGAAGATAATCAGCATTACAGCAGATTAAAACAAATATCTATAACACAAATTGTAATAAGAAGACAAGAATTTCTCACCGTGTATGAATAGCCATGAACGAAAGAATTGTTTGGATTGAAGTCGTGGTCATGGAAACCATAAAATGAGATTCCTTCAACAGAGGGCTCACTGAAGTAGAGCCTCAGCACGTCCTCGTACCTGAAAGCAGGGTACATTGCTGCATAACATTGACATTTATGGGCATAGACATTCATAGACAGATATGTTCATAGTCATAGACATTCATGAACATAACAGATATATATATATATATATATATATATATATATATATATATATATATATATATATATATATATATATATATATATATATATATACACGTAATCATACATTCATGGACACAGAAAATACTGATGGACATAGATATTTGTGGACACTGATATTCATGGGCATAGACATTCATAGACGTCGAAGATTTTAATAGACATAAATATTTAAGGACATAGATATTTAAGGACATAGATATTAAAGGACATAGATATTTAAGGACATAGATATTTAAGGACATAGATATTTAAGGACATAGATATTTAAGGACATAGATATTTAAGGACATAGATATTTAAGGACATAGATATTCATAGACACCGTTCTTCGGTTCCCGAGTTCAGGTGTGTCAGAGACAAGACGCCACCCCGCCCCAAGGAAAAAAAAAGTAATTGAGTGGTTGGGAAAAGGGGGGGGGGGGGGGGAACCTCAGGCATTTCATAATTTTCTAGGGACGGAGGTTCCAGAGGTGCTTAAGCAATAATTAAAAATAATTATTATATGCCAAATGGCAGAATAAAAATACAATAGGAGATATCTAACAAATACTTTTAAATGGAATGTCTATGTCTTGTTGAGGAGGGGCACGTAAATAATGAGGATATATATATATATATATATATATATATATATATATATATATATAATATATATAATATATATATATATATGTGTGTGTGTGTGTGTGTGTGTGTGTGTAAGTATCGTTTATGAAATATCGTAGTAAGTGGAACGAAATAGATAAACTAATTTTCAGTCAGCGTTTGATGAGACCTCAACATTTCATGATGTCAAAGCGGAGTCTAAACCAGTTTGTATGTATTTATGTAAATGACAATGTGTTGTAAACGTTGGGGTTTACTCAAATATTCTGTGCTACTATTACCTTCCAAGCTGAAAAAAAAATGTTATCAAAGAAGAAACCAACTGGCAAAGAAAACAATGAAAAAAGATGTAAAACTTTACCAGTCTGCCTTCTCGTTTTCATCGCTGGATCCTACACTTAGCTGAGTTATCCATAAGGGAAGTCCTGTCGCTGCCAGGTTGTCGAGACGGCCCTGTTAACAAATGTATTGTAGATGTGAACATGCTAACGGTGATTATTGATACTATGTATATCTTCTTCTTCTAAACATTTCTTCTTCTTCACTTTCTCTTTTACCGCTGTGAGTGTCGAGGGAGATATAAGTTTCTGTTTCTAGCTCTTCTGTAGCAATCGCTACAGAAAGCTCAATGAGATATATACGGACTGATCAAACGGTATCTAGACGTTTACTGGCTGTAAACTCCGGCGAAAAGTTTTGGTTGTTTGTCTACCTGTGGCCTTAAGTCTTGTTCCAGAATCTGACTATTGCGTTCACATCAGTTTAACAGATCTGACTTAACTTTATGCAGATTATTGGTTCCTTGCCTCTAAGGGAAACGAACTATGACTTCAAACGAAGCCCCAATTAGTTGACTCTTACAACATGCTTGCTGGGGAGGCAGTGTGTATATTCTTGTTTTCCCCACAAAGGGTCCTCGGAAATATTTATTCTGTTTGGGATACATTTTTTAGACAAACATAATTTCGTGAACAGTATTTCAGTCTTCGTTGTTTTCAGGCAATGGCGAGAAATCGCACCCCTCCCCCCAGTATATGGCAAATCTAACTGTGGACAAGATTAGGACCCCGCCACGCACCCTGCCCCCAGCAATGAATACATTTCTGTCAACCTTCACTGTGGAGACGGCACACTTTTGTTTAATTGTTAACTTAAGTAAAAAAGTAAAGATCCCTTTCCACGCCTTTAGGCGTATCGGGCATACGGGAAGAGCGCCCATATTTTAACAGACCATCAGCACTCGGTGGGTAATGTGGTCAGCATTACCCCGAATTGGTAACTTTGTCCAGTAGCAAACCAGAAGTTTAACTAATTCTCTTACATGAGTGTAATGAGCCATTTTTGTCCTTCGTGTCTAATTTTCATAAATTATTCTGAATGGGTGGTGGTCTTCTGAATAAAGTTTGAGTGAAGGGACTGAGTGGCAAGTCGAGGTAAGCACGAACATAACCAGGCAAACATGAATTTTGTCTAGGTGGCCAAAAGACTGAGATAATTATAAACGTTTAGTCGATTTCCTATTAGGAAACAAAATGTTAGTCTTAACCAAAGCCGATATCAACATTTTTAAGAGATAACAAACAAACAACACTGAAAGAGTTGGAAGAACTCAGTAAAATTTACTTTTCAGCTCATTGTGAAGTTTTCATATCTAGTTGAGTACTACACATTGAGACTAGCCAGTGCTTACTCCATCAAAAGCAAATCTAACCCAGTTACAACCCCATACAGAAAGAAAACAACTTTTAATAAATGGCAGCCAGTTTATTGTTCATATTGTAAAAGGCATCATCCACTACGAGTAGCCTATGAAAACGAGATACGAAGACAGATATGACTATTACACTTTATCGCCTCTCGGCCTTTTGGCTACCTAGGCAAAATTCATGCTTGTCTCGTAAAGTTCGTGTATTCTTCGACTTGCTACATTGTTTGTTCACTCATACATTATTCTTAAGACCACCAATTCAGAATAGTTTATGAAAATGATGTACGAAGGAGAAAATGACTCATTATAAGGCGATATAGACACAAACCTAGACACACTTTCACACTGTGTCGGCATCTGTGGCTTAAGCCTAGTGAAATTATAACTAGCCAAAACATGCTGCGGTTGATTTTACAACACCCCTGTAAAATGTCATGCAAGTAACTAACTGTTTCGCACTGTAGCCGGTAAATTACTGTGTGGTAACACACAGAATGGAAAGCTCTGTGCTAATTTATTGTTGTGAAACGTTTGTTTCTAGTGTTTAACAATACAACGTGAATAAAATATTTAGTCTGTTCTATGAGAATACTTTTACGAATGATGCTGTTTTAGTAGTTACATGTGCAGCACCAAAGAAATATGTAGTTAGTTCTGTCAGGGTATTGCTAGGAATCGCATGTGTACTCGGTATTCACATATGCTGGGCACGGCAGTATGATGTAAGGTGACCATTTTATTATCTCAGCTACTTTTCTGCCTAGATAAATCTGAAGACAATTTTGGTTCCATTTGATAAAGCCACACACACGAACCTTATTATGCTAACGATAAAACACCACAGCAGTGGTCTCCAACCTTCTTCATGACGCAACCCTCCCCCCAGTATAAAGCAAAACCCCTACGTCCCCTTTGAATATATTGCAAGGCCCTACACCCCCTCCCAGGCCCCCCCCCCCCCCCCCCCTCACATAAAAAAATAATATTAAAAAGAGGAGCACAGTAGATTTTGCAACAAACAGAAACAGAAAGTATGCAGATACGTTTTTATCAGAATGTGTTCTTAATATATAATTAAATGCCCTTGGTATCATGTTTATTCACTTTTACCGAGTTTCAAAAAAAAAAAAAAACCTTAGTCTCCCCAAACAAAGTAAGTCATGTTCCATTCATAAGTTTATTTAGCTGGTCTACAATCCTGCAGGTTATGGGTGTGCCGCTCTGTTGTTTGCTTTCTGGGTTGTCTTGCATTTACTTTTTTTTTCCCGAGAAAGAGAATGCCCGTGATGCAGGTTTCATCACTCTCTAAAGGGGTTTTGTATTAGACTCAGTTTGTCGATGTTTTTGGAGTATTAAAAGCGCTGGCGTGCTGAAATATACAACACGCAATATCAACGGCATTGCGAAAAACCCCCGTAACCTTGCGGCAATGTAACGTTACTCAAGGTCGACCAATCAGAAGTGAGCTAGGCTGAAGATAGACCAATCAGAAGTGAGCTAGTGTGTAACACTGTGCAAATGGGGAGACTAACGTTAATTTTACCTTTTACCGGTACATACAGAAACTGCTTATGAAAAAAAAAAAAAAGACCTGGCTTTTTGTTTTATATCCAGCTCTAAAAATTATTTGATAATTAAACTTAAAAACGTTAGTAACCGGATTGGGACAAGTATAAACACACTTAATTTCATAACTACTTGACGCCACCCTGAAATCTCTTTACGCCGCCCCCTCCCTCCCCCGAGGTGGCGGGTGCTTTCCTGGTTGGAGACCACTGCTCTACAGGATTTTGCAACCCAACTACTGCATGTGTTGGCTGTTTGTGGTTTACTAGACAAATTTACAATCAGTAGTTTGCCAATGCTTATTTAACAGTCGACTACCCATTTCATTGTCGAAATCAACGAAAAGCAGGCCGCTGCAGAATCGCTTGCAGGTGAATCAAAACAAGTATTTCGGATTTATGAACTGCTTTGGTAATCTCCAAACCATACTGAACACAAATAAACACATGGGAATTAAGTTTCTGTTTTCCAAAATGTGAATATATATATATATATATATATATATATATATATATATAAATCAACGTTTGTGTGTTTGTTTGCTCCCTATAGACTCGGAAACTACTGAACTGATTTAGCTGAAATTTTCAGGATATGTTTGTTTTGATACCGGATTTTGAACCATCGTGGTTTGAAATTCAACCTGTCGCTGTAAGAGATAGGTGACCACATATTAAGCCATAATATTCGAAACTAATATTTATAACTTTAGTGATTTCTAATTACAGCCACGTTAGTAATTGCGCGTGCGCCGCCGTAGTCGGAACGCAAGGCTTCCGCCATTTGCCGGCGAGTTACGTGCAGCCAACGCCTTCTCTAATACATAGAGTAGGACGTGGTACATTAAACAAGACTATCTCTATATTTGCCACAATAACCATATTAAACACGATTTCTATTTTCTGTTTTTTTTTTCAAACAACCTTCGATGGGGGGGGGGGGGGGGGGGGAAATAAAGGACTATCTCGACGTCGGCGCAGACATTGACTGCGACATTAACTTCATTAACCGTGTTAGACACGTGCGATTTCTATTGTTGTGCCGTTTCATTAATATATCTGGAGTATCTGTCTACGAGAAAACAATTGCCTGCGGTTTTGAATTGTGTTTTAATCAGGACTCAGTAGTAGGGACACATATCTCTAATAGTTGAGTTCTCTTTTCGTTTATCCGATTAATTGGCTGCTTGGTCGAATGGTTAGAACACTGGGTTCCTGTGCGGGAGACCTGGGTACGAATCCGCAGTAGTTAATATTTTTTTTTTCCACCCCGGACTAAAATAATATCCTCATCTGCTCTGTCGTGGTGACAGCACTAGCCATGTTGCCTTAATATTTAAAAAAAAAAAAAAAAAGACAAGTAAATGGGTAAACCATTTGATAATTAAATTTGACCATTTCGCATACTTATGATCGCATTTTAAAACTTTCCGATTGCATGTTTACGCTGAAATTTTACAGATTTTCATTTATTTTCATTTAGATTTAGTTATTTCATCTGCGTTGGAATTTTAAGCTGTGCTGTTTACCATGGCGTTCATTTCCTAATTATGGTGTTTTTCTCCTGTGTTCATTTGCTTTTCAAGTTTTTCCCCCCCTCCCAACTACTTCAATTAGAGAAAGAGTTGTCGGTGAATTTGGGGGGGGGGGGGGGCAAACTATTTACTGAGAGAGCTTTAAGTCACAGTAACTGCTTTACCCACTTAAAGTAGCAGCAGCAGTAATAGTTGTGGTTGGGCTGTTACACCATAGTGCTCTCATGTGAAGACCGCCGGTAAGGTTATGGCGTTCTTCTGTCGGCAAGTGAAATTATACATCCTAACCTGACCAGTCTGTGGCGACAGCACTAGCCATGCGGAACCAAATCTTCTGGCTCACGACTCTCTGTCTACTCCGATGGTAACACAGATAGCAGTTACATTATTTTAGTAGTTGTAGTGGTACTTGAAGGATGATGTGGTAAATATTACACTAGCCCCATTCACTACCTATTACAATTCCTGCTCCCCATTTTAGTCCAGATGGACAGGGATGTCAATGTCAGTTACAGCAACAACAAAATATCGCCAGGTAATGATTTTCAAATATTTCGAAGAGGGAGAGAGCAGTAGTCGGTGGAAGAGGGGAGGGGAGGGGGGTAATGACTTAGATTTAAGAGAACTTAAAGAGCTTTACACATGATTTTCAATTTCTCATTACCTAATTTGTTTATATTTTACTAACGCTAACTCCGCTTTTCTATTTTTTACGACTTACTTTGTTATTTACAAGTACAGTTGTAGCTTTACTTCCGTCACCTATAAAAATACAAACAGCTTTAGCATGAGATAACCAAATAACCACTTTTGTTACCGTGCTAATAGCACCATTTAGACGACCACTAATATAAAGACACAATTATATGGTGCGTGTTCTAAAGTTGGAAAACCAGACTATCTCTATATAAATGTGCAGAGAATGATTGCGACATTAACTATATTAGACAGGTGCGATTTCCATTGTCTTTCTTTTCCAAAAACCTTTGATGAGGGAGAGGGTAGTAGGTGGATTTAGTTGTGGGGTGGGGGGTGGGGTGGAGATCAAAGACTATTTCTTATCTGAGCAGACAATGATTGTATTAGACACATGCGATTTCTATTTTCTTTCATTTCCTTTTAGCCAAACTATGCCACAGCAACGCGTGGCCGGGTACAGCTAGTATATATATATATATATATATATATATATATATATATATATATATATATATATGTGTGTGTGTGTGTGTGTGTGTGTGTATGTATGGATGTGTGTGTGTGAGAAAGAGGGGCGAGAGAGAGAGAGAGAGAAAGGAGAGAGAGGAGAGAGAGAGAGAGAGAGAGAGAGAGAGAGAGAGAGAGAGAGAGAGAGAGAAAGAGAGAGAAAGAGAGGAGAAGGTGAAGATTTCAAATCCTAAAGAAAGTAAACACTGTCCGGAGACATGGGATTTGTCCATTGGCCTGTTCTCTTAGGTCGAGAAGAGTCCCAAATACGTATCAGGAAATGTTCATGGAAGTAAATACTGACCACATCATCCTTCAAGAAACGATAGGCTTTTAACAATAATCTGTGTTATCACCATATATAAGGTACGCTCTCTGACATTGACAAGGGCCCTTTATTTATTTACATGACTTTAGAGCATTGCGAATGACAGGTTAAGTGTTACCTTCACAAGGGTTATGTCTGGTTTGGTGAAGTCTGGAAACCTGCTCTGGATACCCACGCCTCTTAGTCCAACATCAGCGTCTTTGAAGGCATTGATCTGATCAACATACCCCTACAGAAGAACAGAGGTATATTTGATGTCAATTCATTAACATCTTAACATTGAGGGCGAGAAGAGATACCAAGCAAACAGTTGTTGCTAAGGAGCAGCATTAAAAAGTATTCCATATAAAACCAATTGTAATGGCTACACAAATTAGGACAAAGAAAATATTCCCTAGATGAGCAAATTTATGAGCATTTTGAAAGTGTAATGACTATACACAAAAGTGAGAAGAATGTGGTGGTTATGGGGGCTAATAAGAATAGTTTGCTCTACGCAAAACATGTTTTATATTTCAACAATATCAGAACTAAAGCAAATGTATCCACACATGTTTTATTATTTAACAAAAATGCAACTTATTTTCTCCCGAAATCCTCTTTTTTTCGGGTCACCGGAGCCATTTTAGTTTTATAATACAGATGTGTTGCTCTGCTTAGAATTCCGTAATGTCAGACTGTCATGCATGCATCTTTGTAAGTATGCTTCAGTTTATCTGGAATTTTCTATCAATCTGAAACTTTCCCTAAAACTGTCATTACTGATTGTGTTTAACATTTTTAGAGGGTAAGGGAACGAAAAATAGGAGCAGCGGTGGTCTGTGAGAATGAGGATTTAGGTCCGCGTGTCCAGTACTGTCGCCACAGACTGTACAGGTGAAGATTTTGTTAGCCCATAACTTTAAGGGAATTCAAATCTAGATGTCCCACACGAGAGATCAGCGTTCTTAACCGTTTGGCTAGCTGCTCCTCATTTTTCAGATAACTTTGTGGTCTGGGAAACCAAGAATTGTGATTCATTCTATAACCTGTAAAAGGCTATGTGATATTTATTAAGTTGTATCATTGGTCTTTTGTTTTGAATGCTGATAAAGGCTTTGCGTAAGACACTGGCGATTTTTAATTACAAGCTACAATAGGCATAGGTACGGTAAGTCATAGGTAAGGCTAAATAAGATTAAATATGTCACTCGTGACTGTTACTGTAAAGCCGACAGCCCTACT